CCCTCAGCACTGACCCTCCGACAGTGCGGCGCTCCCTCAGCACTGACCCTCCGACAGTGCGGCGCTCCCTCAGCACTGACCCTCCGACAGTGTGGCGCTCCCCCTGGTTTACTGTTTAAGCAAAACACTGCTCTTCGCGGAGAAGATCCCTCACCGAGCATTAGCTGCTTTCACGTCGCTCCAAGTTATTTGTAAAACAACACCTTGAGCTTTCTGTTTGTCTATGGTTCTGTTAAGATTGTCCTGTCTTCACAGCTTCACCACTGTGCCTGGTTCAAACTGGCAGCATTATACGGGGAACCCCTGGAGCTCGAGTTCCATCAGAGTCAGCAGCTTCCTACCGAGGCTCAATCACTCAGGTAATCTCTGTTCAGATCACAATGTGGGAATCTGCCAAGGATCACCACTGGCTCCCCCCCCATCCCACCCCAACCTCCTTTCCCCAGTCACACCTTTAGTTTTAGTATTGTTTCAGTCACAAGTGTGGCCAAATTGTTTCCTCGTATCCTGTTATCCAGGTTCCTTTTAATTATCTCACACTTATCCATTTATTATAAAATGAAGCAAATTCCTAAAAATGAACTGACAAAACTGTTTAATACGTAAACTATAATCCTGAATTAGAACTATTTTAATCCCAAAGAAGATACATTGAAATGACAAAAGGCAGCAAGAACTTTACAGAGATGATCTTTTTAAAAAATGTAAGAGAAACACCCTTCAGTCTGAATAACGAAACATTGAATTTGACGTTATCAGATTGCTGACAGCTGTAGACTGTTGGAAGCTCTCTAAATGCTGTTTCAATTTGGATGTAAATCAAGTTGATTCCAACTCTGTGGACAGGGGTCACAGTTCAACTTTTGAGGGTTTACAAGGGAATTAAAATACGGTGATGGGGAAATTTTATCACGTTTCCATGTACAGTTCCCAGGAGAAGGAGAAAGTCTCACTGCCACGGTGAGCTTTTGAAGTTTTCTTCCTTTCAACTCTCTCTGGGTTGTGAAGCCTAGTCCTGAAAGGATTGCAAGACAGCCATCTGAGCAGTACCTCCAAAACCCAAGTTTTCTTACAGATAATGGCAGTAAAACCCCATCTCTTATGCCCATAAAAACTTTGCTTGGTTGACTTTCCAAAGTCACCTGACTTTTTGTAATTAGCAAGTGGATCGCAGTCAAACTAAAACTGTTGGCCTCATTTCCCTGAAATCACAAGAGTTCCCACTCCCCTTAGTAAAAACCCTGCTTCATTCAGAGAGTGTCCAAACATTTCAGTAACTTCCAGTTCTCCATGTTAGTCAAAAATATAGCTGTACTCTGAAAAAAGGAGTGATGGCTCCAAAGCAATTGACTGAGGAAAGCAATGACCCTGCAACAAGCACCAAGGATGGACTGGCCTCTTTCTGTTCTCAATCGTTATCCAATTCCAGCAAAGTAATAAAAAGGACAGATTTGCATTTATATAGCACCATTCCAGATCTCAACCGTCCCTAACTATTTTTCAGCCGATGAAGCATTTGGAAACAGAATTACTTTTGGTGATGTAGGAAATGAAGCAGCAAATTACTGCCATCAAATGTCTCAAACAACCTGACAGCAAACCCAAAGAGTGCGCAAGTAACGTGATGTTATACATAATAAGGGAAGAACAGAACATTGTAATCTTAGAAATTGTACCAGAAAATCTATTACATCAGCCTAAGGGGGATCTCGGTTTAACACCTGAAGTATACTGCCCCACTCCCTCAGCATTGACCCTCCGACAGTGCGGCGCTCCCTTAGCATTGACCCTCCGACAGTGCGGCGCTCCCTCAGCACTGACCATCCGACAGTGCGGCGCTCCCTCAGCACTGACCATCCGACAGTGCGGCACTCCCTCAGCACTGACCATCCGACAGTGCGGCACTCCCTCAGCACTGACCCTCCGACAGTGCGGCGCTCCCTTAGCACTGACCTTGTGACAGTGCGGCGCTCCCTCAGCACTGACCCTCCGACAGTGCGGCGCTCCCTCAGCACTGACCCTCCGACAGTGCGGCGCTCCCTCAGCACTGACCCTCCGACAGTGCGGCACTCCCTCAGCACTGACCATCCGACAGTGCAGCACTCCCTCAGCACTGACCTTCCGACAGTGCGGCGCTCCCTTAGCACTGACCTTGTGACAGTGCGGCACTCCCTCAGTACTGACCCTCCGACATGGGGACAAAAACAGAAGTTGCTGGAAACGCTCAGTGGGTCTGGCAGCATCTGTGAAGAAAAATCAGAGCTAACGTTTTGGGTCCGGTGACCCTTCCTCAGAAGATCAGATACATGGGAACACCATCCCCTGAAAGTCACCTCCAATACACTCACCATCCTGACTTGGAAATATACCACCATTCCTTCAGTGTCACTGGGTCAAAATGCTGGAGTTCCCTCCCTAATAGCATTGTGGGTCAGCCCACAGCACAGGGACTGCAGTGGTTCAAGAAGGCAGCTCCCGACCACCTTCTCAAGGGGCAGCTAGGGACGGGCAATAAATGCTGGGCCCAGCCAGTAACACCATGTCCCATGAGATCCGTGAGACAGGGACAGTACTTCGCAAGTTAATGGGTATTTTAAAGAACAGTTTGTGCGCTGAATAAATAATAAGTACTTGACATTATTAACAGTTGATTGTGAACACTGTCCTGTGTATGTTTGCACACATCAAAATGTGGCCGTTGGAACCATTAGCTGATGCAGTGAGCAGCCCATCCCCTGTCAGTATCGTCTGCAAGTTATTTCAGCCCTAAGCCGAGAGCTTGGTTTAAACCATGTACAAGTTTCTCCTCCAAAGCATTAATTATTTTATTTTGTTTCAAAATACTTTGTTACATTGTTCTTTTCCTCAATTACTATTCACTCCTGGATTGTTCTGGCTAATCCAGGTTTATGTTCTTGTTGTTTGTTGTGAGGTTTTGGGGGCTGCTTTCCTCTGGCACTGAATGTGCTGCCTCCATCTATAATGACCATTGACTGTGTCTCTGCTGTTACACAGGGAACGCCAGCAGAGGTTCTGTATAAAGGAACCGTCACCAGGGTCACAGAGGACGACAATCCCAGGGATGAGAGAGCGCAGAATGAAGCCTCCCCAAAAGGACAGGTCATCTATGAAGGGAAAAGTGGCCATGTGCTCTCATATGATGGTGAGGAGCCTCCATATAGATTACAGAATTACCTGGCAGTGCCACAGAATATGTTAATCCAACCTCCAGTTGCTTGCCTTGTGTTGCCAAAAGTGGAAGCCAGTTATTGCACAGTAAATTTTGTTGCAATCACAAAGAAACTGAGAAGCTTTTTAAGGAAAGGAATTTCATATCACCGATGGAAATAAAACCACCGGACAAGACTTTGATTTTTAAAACATTTAACGTAGACATTTACTGTAACAAACAAACTAAAATCAATATCATTCAAACTTTATCTAAATTGTGAAAGATACTTTAAATAAAAATGAAAATTTCACATTAAATAATCGCCATAACAAAGCTATGCCTCACATAATCTGTGTAACTTCCTGCAGTAACGCAGCATCAACTGCAAAATCAGGCTTTCCGTCTTATTTCTTGCTATGTGGGATCTCTTCCTTACACTTACATCAGCTCATGTCACATTGATCAGCGGTGATTTTCCATCTGAAGTCCCAGGACACAATCAGCACTAACAAGGTACATATCTATGAACCCTCTCTCACTCAGGTCAGTCATCCTCGTCCACAGGATCCACAGCAATTCCCTTCACCAAGCCCTTTAAACTGTCTAAAAACCTGAAAAAACTGCGGATGCTGCAAATCAGGAACAAAAACAGAAGTTGCTGGAAAAGCTCAGCAGGTCTGGCAACATCTGTGAAGGAAAAATCAGAGTTAACATTTCTTCCCAGATGCTGCCAGATGTACTGCGCTTTCCCAGCAACTGCTGTTTTTGTTTCATTAAACTATCTGGTTGGCTCTGGCAAAATGGAATCAGCAATTTCCAACCTGTAATCCCTCTTACTTTTTATCTATTGCATTCTATCCTTTCAAACTGTATAACAAATACAGCAACATGGTCTATACTGTATTCTCAAGAGACTTGTTTCACCACAAGCATCTTTTCGAATGCTGCCAAACAGGAAACTGTTTCATTCAGAAAGGACCTAGCTTGTTCTTGCTGTCACAAGTATTCAGTGTTTATGAGCTGCAAACAATAAAACAAGCCAGTCAAACCCCTCACCGCCCCACACGATCAGCTTTCTGAGTTTACACCAGAATTAACATGGACACATTGCGCTACACTAAAGAAAAATACAGATATTCCCAAAACACAACTTCCCTTCCCAACTCCTAATAACAAAACATAAAGTTGTTGAGCAGTTAATTAGGTGTGGTCATGTCAATTGAAGGGTCAGGTATTCATCAGGACACACTGACAAAATCCGTAATAGAGAACTGGGATCAATTACATTAGGCCAGATCAAGGATTAGCGCCTCATTCTCAAAGTTGGTCACTCCGACAGTGAGGCGCTCCCTCAGCACTGACCCTCCCACAGCGCGGCGCTCCCTCAACACTGACCCTCCCACAGCGCGGCGCTCCCTCAACACTGACCCTCCGACAGTGCGGCGCTCCCTCAGCGCTGACCCTCCGACAGTGCGGCGCTCCCTCAGCACTGACCCTCTGACAGTGCCCACTCCCTCAGCACTGACCCTCTGACAGTGCCCACTCCCTCAGCACTCACCCTCCGACAGTGCGGCGCTGTGTCTCATGAATATTTAGGGTTTAAAAATGAAGCATTACACATTGATCCCAATGAGGGATGAAGGTAGTGATTCTGATTTGTGTAAAATTGTATTTTGTGGTTTGTTTTATCTCCATGCTGCTGTATAACATCTGAATCCCTCTCGACCAACCACTTGTGTTCTTCTGGTTGACACATGATGGTCAGAAACAAACATCACCAAATATTTTAGCTGATACCTGAGCTTTGAGATGGTGCTGGTGAACTCACTGTTGTGGCTCCAAGGGAAGTTTCGGTGGGAATCTGTACAATGGGTCTGGGGTGTATGTAAGGTCCTGAGTGATTAACACAGTGTCTAATGAGCAAAATGGGTAAGAGAGCCAGTCCATGGCTTCCAAAGGAAATTACAGATAGTATCCGATCCAAGGAAGAAGCATACAGTTTGGCCAAGAAAAATAATAAATCTGAGGATTGGGAGCAATTTAGAATTCAGCAAAGAAGGACCAAAGGATTGATCAAGAAGGGGAAAGTAGAGTACAAAAATAAGCTTGCAGAGAACATAAAGACTGACGCTAAGAGTTTCTATAGGCATGTGAAGAAAAAGAGATTGTTAAAGACAAATGTAGGTCCCCTACAGACAGAAATGGCCGAATGTGTAATAGGAGACAAAGAAATGGCTGAGGAACTGAATACATACTTTGGTTCTGTCTTCACAAAAGAGGACACAAATCAGATACCAGACATGTTGGAGAATGCAAGATTTAGTGAGAGGGAAGAATAGAGGGAGATCAATATTAGTAGAGAAATGATGCTGGGAAAATTAACGGGATTGAAGGCGAATAAATCCCCAGGGCCTGATAATCTACATCCCAGAGGATCTAAGGAAGTGGCTGTAGAAATAGTGGATGCATTGGTGGTCATCTTCCAGGATTCTATAGACTCTGGAACAGTCCCTGCAGATTGGAGGGTAGCTAATGTCATTCCAGTATTCAAAAAGGGAGGTAGAGAGAAAACAGGGAATTATAGACCGGTCAGCCTAACATCGGTAGTGGGGAAAATTCTTGAATCCATTGTCAAGGATTTTATAGCAAAGCATTTAGAAAGCAGTGGCAGGGTCAGACAGAGTCAGCATAGATTTATGAAGGGGAAATCATGCTTGACAAATCTGTTGGAATTCTATGAAGATGTAACTGTTAGAGTTGACAAGGGAGAACTGTCGATGTGGTATATTTGGACTTTCAGAAAGCATTGGACAAAGTCTCACATAAAAGATTATTGTGCAAGATTAAAACGCATGGGATTGAGTGAAGTATATTGAGATAGATAGAAAACTGGTTGGCAGAGAGGAAACAAAGAGGAGGAATTAATGGGTCCTTTTCAAATTGGCAGGCAGTAACTAGTGGGGTGCCACAGGGTTCGGTGCTGGGACCCCAGCTATTCACAATATATATTAATGATTTGGATGAGGGAACAAAATGTAACATTTCCAAGTTTGCAGATGATGCCAAATTGGGTGAGAGGGTGAACTGTGATGAGGATGCAGAGATCCTTCAGCATGATCTCGACAGGTTGGATGATTCGGCAAATCAATGGCAGATGCAGTATAGAACATAAGAGCTAGGAGCAGGAGCAGGCCGTCTGCCCCTTCGAGCCTGCTCCGCCATTCAATAAGATCATGGCTGATCTTCTCGTGGACTCAGATCCACCTACCCGCGTTCTCACCATATCCCTTAATTCCTTTATTGTTCAAAAAAAATCTACCTTATCTTTAAAAACGTTTACTGAAGTAGCGTCAACTACTCCACTGGGCAAGGAATTCCATAGATTAACAACCCTCTGGGTGAAGAAATTCCTTCTCAATTCAGTCCTAAATCTGCTCCCTCTAATCTTGAGGCTATGCCCTCTTGTCCTAGCTTCACCTGCCAGCGGAAACATCCTCTCTACTTCTATCTTGTCTATTCCCTTCATAATTTTATATGTTTCTATAAGATCCCCCCTCAATCTTCTGAATTCCAATGAATATAATCCCAATCTACTCGGTCTCTCCTCATAAACCAACCCCCTCAGCTACGGAATCAACCTAGTGAACCTCCTTTGCACCCCCTCCAGTGCCAATACATCCTTTCTCAAGTAAGGAGACCAGAACTGCGCACAGTACTCCAGGTGTGGCCTCACCAGCACCTTGTACAGCTGCAACATAACCTCTCTGCTTTTTATTTCAATCCCTTTAGCAATGAAGGACAAAATTCCATTTGCCTTCCTAATTACTTGTTGTACCTGCAGACCTACCTTCTGTGATTCATGCACAAGGACACCCAGGTCCCTCTGCATAGCAGCATGCTGCAACTTTTTACCATTTAAGTAATAATCCTTTTTACTATTACTCCTACCAAAATGTATGATTTCACATTTATTTACATTGTATTCCATCTGCCAGACCTTTGCCCACTCACACAATGTATCTATGTACCTCTGCAAAGTTTCACAGTCCTCTGCTCACTTTGCTCTGCCACTCATCTTAGTGTCATCTGCAAACTTTGACACCCTACACGTGGTCCCCAACTCCAAATCATCTATATAAAATGTAAATAATTGCGGTCCCAACACCGATCCCTGAGGCACACCACTAGTCACTGACTGCCAGCGAGAATAGCACTCAATTATCCCCACTCTTTGCTTCCTGTTAGTCAACCAATCCTCTATCCATGCTAATACTTTACCCTTAATGCCATGCATCCTTATCTTATGCCGTAGCCTCTTGTGCGGCACCTTGTCGAAGGCCTTTTGGAAATCTAGGTACACCACATCCACTGGGTCCCCATTGTCCACCTTGCTCGTAATCTCTTCATAGAATTCCAAAAGATTTGTCAAGCATGACCTGCCCTTCATGAACCCATGCTGTGTCTGCCCAACGGGACAACTTCTATCAAGATGCCTTGCTATTTCTTCCTTGATAATAGACTCAAGCATCTTCCCCACTACAGAGGTTAAGCTAACCGGTCTATAATTCCCCATCTTTTGTCTTCTTCCCTTTTTAAACAGTGGCGTCACATTTGCTGTTTTCCAGTCTGCTGGGACTGCCCCAGAGTCCAGCGAATTTTGGAAAATTACCACCAGTGCACCTGCTATTTCTCCCGCCATCTCTTTTAGTACCCTGGGATGCATTCCATCAGGGCCAGGAGACTTATCAATCCTTAGCACCATTAGCTTGCCCAACACTACCTCTTCCGTAATTATGATTGTTTCCAGGTCCTCACCTTCCTTTGTCTCTTTGTCAATTACTGGCATGTTATTAGTGTCCTCCACTGTGAAGACCGATACAAAATACCTGTTCAGTGCCTCGGCCGTTTCATCATATCCCATAACTAAATTCCCCTTCTCATCCTCTAAAGGGCCAACGTTTACTTTAGTCACTCTTTTTCGTTTTATATATTTATAGAAACTTTTGCTATCTGTCTTTATATTCTGTGCTAGTTTTTTCTCATGTTCTATCTTACTTTTCTTTATAGATCTTTTTGTGGCTTTCTGTTGACCTTTAAAGTTTTCCCAATCTTCTAGTTTCATGCTGTTTTTGGCCACTTTGTATGCCTTCTCTTTCAATTTGATAGCCTCCCTTATTTCTTTAGACACCCATGGCAGATTACCCCTTTTCTTACAGTCCTTCCTTTTCACTGGAATATACTTTTGCTGAGCACTTTGAAAGATTGCTTTGAAAGTCCTCCACTGCTCGTCAACTGTCACACCATAAAATTTTTGTTTCCAGTCCACTTTAGCCAAGTCCTCCCTCATTCTATTGTAGTTCCCCTTGTTCAAGCACAGGACCCTGGTATTGGATTTTATCTTCACACTCTCCATCTGTATTCTAAATTCAACCATACTGTGATCACTCCTTCCAAGAGGATCCCTAACTATGAGGTCATTAATTACTCCTGTCTCATTACACAGGACCAGATCTAGGATAACTTGCTCCCTCGTCGGTTCCATTACATACTGTTCAAGAAAACTATCACGGATACACTCAACAAACTCCTCCTCAAGGCTACCCTGACCGAGCTGGTTCGACCAATCTATATGTAGATTAAAATCCCCCATGATAATTGCCGTACCAGTTTTACAGGCATTAGTTATTTCTTTGTTTATTGCCCGCCCCAATGTGACGTTATTATTTGGTGGCCTATAGACTACGCCTATCAGTGACTTTTTCCTCTTAGAATTTCTGATTTCCACCCAAATGGATTCAACCTCATTCTCCATAGAACCTATATCATCTCTCAGCACTGCCCTGATGTCATCCTTGAATATCAGAGCTACGCCACCTCCCTTACCTTCCTGTCTTTCCTTCCGAATAGTCTGGTACCCTTGGATATTTAACTCCCAGTCGTGACCATCCTGTAACCATGTCTCCGTAATGGCTACCAAATCATATTCATTCACGATGATTTGTGCCGTTAACTCATCAACCTTGTTACGAATGCTACGAGCATTCAGGTAAAATGCCTTTATGCTAGCTTTCTTACCCTCATGATTTCCAACATCTCTAATAATATCTCCTGAGTTATCCTTCCTTTTTTGCTTCTTTCAGAGTCTGCCTTGAACTTAAACCCTCCTGCACACATGCTAACCTGCTGCTTACCTTTTTATTTACCATCATACTCCCTGTCGTTTTCCCTTTCCCTTCCCCCCCAACTCACTAGTTTAAAGTCCTAGTGACCACCCTATTTATCCTTTTCGCAAGAACACTGGTTCCAGATCGGTTCAGGTGGAGACTGTCCCATCGGTACAGATCCCTCCGGTTCCAAAACTGATGCCAATGCCCCATGAAATGGAACCCCTCTTTCCCACACCACTCCCTTAGCCACGTGTTTACTTCCCTAATTTTCTTATCCCTAATTTTCTTATCCCTAAGCCAATTTGCACATGGCTCGGGCAGTAATCCGAAGATTATGACCCTCGAGGACCTGTTCCTTAATTTCGTTCCTAGTGCTTGATAATCCCCAAACAGGTTGTCCATCCTAGCCTTGACTATGTTGTTAGTCCCAATGTGGACCACAACAACTGGATCCTCCCCCTCCCGCTCCAATATCCTTTCAAGCCGGCCAGAGATGTCCTGCACCCCGGCACCGGGCAGGCAACACACCATGCGGGACTCCCGATCCGGCTTGCAAAGGATACTATCTATCCCCCTAACTATAGAATCCCCTATAACTACCACTTGTCTTTTTGCTCCCCCCTCTTGAATGGCCTTCTGCACCATGGTGCTGCGGTGAGCTGGCTCATCATCCCCGCAGCCCTTTTCCTCATCCACACAGGGAGCAAGCATCTCGTACCTGTTGGATAAGGTCAAAAGCTGAGGCTCCTCCACTCCTGAACTCAGGATCCCCCTACCTGCCTCACTTGCAGTCACATCCTGTTGTCCCTGATCACTAACTGAATTTGAATTACTTAATCTACCAGGTGTGACTGCCTCCCGGATGTGCCGCGTGTTTGAAGCTCAGATTCCAGATCTTCAACTCTGAGCCGGAGTTCTTCCAGCAACCAACACTTGCTGCAGATATGGTCACTGCCGTTCACAATGGGATCAGCTAGCTCCCACATCATACAGCTACTGCACATCACCTGCCCAGCCATCTCTACTTAGTTAATTACTTTATATCAATTTATGAGTTAAATACTTTCTAATACCTCTCTGCTATGGTCTTTTCAAATAACCAATTAATAGATAAATTAAAAAAAGAAAGTAAATTTTTAACCAATTACACGATACAGAAGAAATAGAAAAAGTATAAAAGCCTTACCTTACCAACACATCACAGAGTCCTTTTTTTTGGTTAGAGGAGGAGGGCGGGTGGTACACAACACGTTTAGTGTCTCGGGTTCAGCCGCTGCCCAAATATATTTCCGGCAGCCCCCTGGTCCTCGCTGTCGCCTCTCCCCCTGCTGCTGAAAAATGAATTGGATAAGTTTGAGGTTATTCACTTCGGAAGCAAAACCAAGAAAGCAGATTACTGAGATAACAAGGTGTAGAGCTGGATGAACACAGCAGGCCAAGCAGCATCAGAGGAGCAGGAAAGCTGACATTTCGGGCCTAGACCCTTCTTCAGAAATGCCATTTCAAGATGCTGCTTGGCCTGCTGTGTTCATCCAGCTCTACACCTTGTTATCTCAGATTCTCCAGCATCTGCAGTTCCTACTATCTCTAAAGCAGATTACTGCCTGAATGGCTGTAAATTGGGAGAGGGGAGTGTGCCATGGGACCTGGGTGTCCTTGTGCACCAGTCGCTGAAGGTAAGCATGCAGATGCAGCAGGCGATAAAGAAGGCAGATGGTATGTTGGCCTTCATTGTGAGAGGTTTCGTGTACAGGAGCAGGGATGTGTTGTTGCAGTTATACAAGGCCTTGGTGAGACCAAACCTGGAATACTGTGTGCAGTTTTGGCCTCCTTTTCTTTGGAAGGACTCTCTTTCTCTCGAGGAAATGCAGTGAAGGTTTATCAGGCTGATTCCAGGGATGGCGGGTCTGACATATGAGGAAAGATTGACGAAGTTAGGAGTTAAGGCAAATGAGGGGTGATGTCATAGAGACTTATAAAATTTTAAAGGGACTGGTCAGGTTAGGTGCAGGGAGGATCTTCCTGACGGTGGATGTGTTCAGAACCAGGAGTCAGAGTCTGGGGATTTGGGGTAGACCATTTAGGAGGGAGATGAGGAGACATTTCTTCACCCAAACAGTGGTGAGCCTGTGGAATTCATTACCACAGGAAATAGTTGATGCCAAAACATTGACTGTATTAAAGAGGCGGCTAGATATAGTACTTGGGTGAATGGGATCAAAGGTTATGGGGAGAAAGCAGGATTAGGCTATTGAGTTGGATGCTCAGCCATGATCGTGATGAATGGCGGAGCAGGCTCGACAGGCCGAATGGCCTCCTCCTGCTCCTATCTCTTATGTGTCCTTGAACGTCAGAGGCTGCAGGATATCCAGGGGCAGAGCCTGCATTCTGAGCCAGTTTCCAGTCAGCTTAGCCATGTCACTATCTACAGACCCCCTCTGGCTCTGCACCTCCTATCACATCACAGCACCTCCTGCACCCACAAGTCTGCTCTGGCTTTGGTTTTCATTCACTTTCCATATAATCTTCAGGAATGACATCAGGAAATTCCAAGGACAACCAGTGGAGTTCTGTAGCTGTGAATGAAGTCACTGGAATGAAGCGGAGCTATGAGATGATGGAAGAAGGCATTATGTGGGGTTTAATGACACGCAATTCAGTGCCTTCCAGCTATGAGGGTAAGTATGTGAGAGAGAGAGAGCGAGAATCTGTTCCGTATCGAGAATTCCATCTCAAACCTTAACAAATGGCAGCCATCAGGCTGGGAGCCCAGAGCTGAAGGTTATATCTACACTCAGTCATACTCTCATTGGTCTGTCAAAGATCTGACAGCTCCTAACCTGTTTTTCAGGAATTGATCAGTTGGTTGGACAATTGTTATTAAGAAATTGCTTGTTGTTTATTTTTATAGAAAATAGGAACAGGAGTACTTGGTTCAGTTTTCCAACCCTGTTTTACCATTCAATGTGATTGTGGTTGATCATCTAACTCAGTCCCCTGCTCCTACTTTTACCCCATACCATTTGATCCCTGTGGCCCCTAGAACTTTATCTAAGTCATTCTTGAAGACATTCATTGTTTTGGCCTCAACCGCTTCACAAGGCCAGAGAATTCCACAGGCTGCCAACTCTGTCAGTCCTAAATAATCTCCCCGTTTCCTTAGATCCCTGGTTCTGGACTCCCCAATCATTGGGAATATCCTTACTGTATTTACCCTGTCACACCCTGTTAGAATTTTAGAGGTTTCTATTAGATCTCGCCCCTCATTCTTCTAAACTCCAGTGAATGTACTCCTAATTGATCCAGTTCCTCCTCATACATCAGCCTTGCATTCCCAGGAATGAACCTGGTAAACCTTCACTGCACTCCCTCCATCTCCAGAAGATTGTATCTCAGATAAGGAGATTAAAACTGCACAGTATTCCAGGTGTGGCTTCACCAAGGCCCTGTCCAATTTCAGCAAGACATCCCTGTTTCTGTACTCAAATCTCTCGCTATAAAGACCAACATACAGTTTGCCTGCTGCACCTGCACCTGTTACCTTCAGCAACTGGTATTCAAGGGCACCCAGGTCTTGTTGCACCTCCCCCTTTCCCAATTTATTATCATTCAGATCATAATCCACCTTCCTGTGTTTGCTCCCAAAGTGGGTAACCTCACATTTGTCCACATTACACTGCATCTACCCACTCACTCAGCCTGTCCAAATCACATTGAAGTATCTCTGCATCCTCATAGTTCAGTCTCCCACCCAGCTTTGTGTCATCTGCAAACTTGGAGATATTACATTTAGTTCCCTAATCTAAATTTTTATTTAACTTATTTTTCTAATCAGCCTGTTCAGAGATGTTATTACACACCTCTGGAGCAGGTGGGACTTGAACCTGGGGATCCCAGTCCAGGGGTAGGGACACTACCACTGCATTTCAAGACAGCCCTGTAAACCATTCCCTGGGCCTCTGGATTAACAAGTTAGTGATAATACCATCGCCTCGTTGAAATACCAGTGCACTTGACTCATCAATAACTGGGCAGGCACTTGCTTCAGTAAAGCAACAGTAATGTGAGGACCGTATGTTTTGAACCTACGCAGGGATAACCCCAATGGATTTCTAATCTATCGCCTTAACCACTTGGCCACAACTACATGCTCAGTTCCTCATCTAAATCATTAATATATATTGTGAACAGCAGATGGAACTCGTCACTGTTTACTTTCCAGACTCTGGTTATTTACTGGAGAAAATGCGTTGTGTGTTTTAGGGCTGATGTTTCGTGCTGTTCCCAGGGACAGATTGAGCCATCGTGACTCCAATCAACTCCCTCAGATTCACGGCTCAATCACACAAGGTAATCCTTGCTCAGCTGCAGACCATGATGAAAATCATCAGGTGTAGATTGTTAGGAATCTGGGCTGTAAAACACTCGTTTCATCTCTCTCCATCTCCGACACACTGTCTCCATACTCCCATTTTGGTCTCCCTCTCTATCTCTCTATCATTCTGTCTCTCCGTCTCCCTCCCTCCCCTCCCTCCCTATCACTTCCTCCCTACCTCTCACTCTCTCTTTGTCCCTCCTTCTCACTCCATCTCTCAGTAGATATTCAAAATGATTTCGCAGTGACAGATGCAGATTCCTACATCATTAACCAACTGGAAACATTTATAGCAAAGTAGATTGTTCAGCTCCTTGAGCATTCTCCACCTTCAATAAATTCTGTTCAAATCTGACCTGTTTGTGTTCCCAATTCTTCTATATGGCCATCTATTCCTGATGACCTTTTATTCCCCTGCTCAACAAGAATCTTTCTGCCTCTTCCTTGAATATTTTTAAATGACCCCTCTGCCTTGAGGCATTGTGTCCCATAGTTACACAACCTTCAGAGAGAAATCCCCCTCATCTGTGTGCTGAAATGATGACCCCTAATTTTAAAGCCGTAGTCTCTAACTCTGGATTTGCCCACAAGAGGAAATAACCTTTCCACATCCACCTTGTCAAACACCATTCAGGATCTCATAAATGTCAATCAAATGTTTAGGTCTTTTGCATTGTAGCAGAAACAAACCCAGCATGACTAACCAGTCTTCATGAGAAAAGCCACATTCTCCTCTGAACCACCTCCACTGTGTTTACATCATTCCTTTATTATGGAGACCAAAATTGCACATTGTAATTGAGAGATGCTGTCACTGCTGTCCTGTATAAATGAAGCAGAATGTCCTTATTTTGATCAAATAAATAATTGGAAAAACTCGGCAGGTCTGGCAGCTTCTGTGGAGAGAAAACAGAGTCAGTGTTTTGGGTCCAGTTTTTGTTTTGGATCTCCATCCACAGTTCATTTTTTTGTGTATCCTCAATTTGATGCACAATTCCAGTTGAAATAAGGGCTGGCATCCCACTAGCTGCACCCGCATACTAACCTTTGTGACTCATGCACTAAAACACCTAGATCCCTCTGTACCTTGGAATTCAGGCATTCTCCATTTAAGTAATACTCTGTGCTTTTTACTCCTGCCGAAGTAAACGACTTTGCACGTTCTTGCATTATACTCTATCTGCTAGTTTTTGCCCACTTTATCATCTGCAAACTCTTTGTCTTCACACTTCATCTTACTCATTTTTGTGTCCTCTGTGAATTTAGTCACCGTGCTCTGCCTCCCCTTACCTAACTCATTGATGTAAACTGTAAAAAATTGAGGTCTCTTCTTCAGAACAGCTGTGTGACTCTGAAGAAGAGTCATCAGACTCAAAACATTCACTCTGCTTCTCTCTCCATACATTTCTCCAGCGATGTCTGTTTTTGTTTCAGGTCTCCAACATCCACAGTTCTTTGTTTTAATTTCAACATCAAATGACCTGGCCAACAGTTTCCTGCTTTCTCTCCCTTGTTGGTGGAGGGATTATATTAGCTACGTTCCAGTCTGATAGAACCTCTCAGTGTAGGGGGTATAGAACAGGGGGACGGAGGGGGAACATTGTGGGAGTGGGGTGTGGTGTGGAGGAGGGGTTTAGGAAGTTCCCAAGTAACTGTGGTTTTTCAATTGAGACCAATTTAAAATCTGGTAAATACAAAATATATTTCTGGGTTTTTGTTAAACCATTCAGTTTAACCTGTATTTTTGCTGAGTCACTCTGGCGTGTTTCCCTTGTGTCTCTGGCGTGTTTCCCGTGTGTCTCTGGTGTGTTTCCCGTGTGTCTCTGGTGTGTTTCCCGTGTTCATTCACAGCTGTGTTTGACACTGTTCTGTCAGGATTACCTCGATCACAAGCTGATGGCCAGGGTGAGTGTCTGAGGAGAGATTCCAAGCAGATTAAGAGAGAAAACTCACCGTCGAGAAGCCTGTGCGATGGATTGAAGCGGAGGAGCTGGGATGGTTTTGTCCCAACTGTCAAAGAGGCAGGACGCTCAATCCATGAAATCCCTCGGCAGAGATCGCACAGAACACCAGAGACCTGCACGCTATCGAAATGCAACATCGAGGGCTCCATCTCCCAGGTACCAAGGGTCCTGAGTATTGTGGGTGCAGCAACTCAACACCCAGAACTCTCTGCTCACTAACTCCGGGCTCAATCTTACCGCGTTTTCAAAAAGTGTTATTTTTGTCGAGTCTAGTGGAAGGTTTCTCTCCATGAGGCCTAGCGAGTTTGCTCTCATTATTATCCCAAACCCACCTCATTAACCAGGTACCAGGCACCTGTGGCACTCTGCTATTCCGATGCACGCCTGATACTCCCACTCAACATAAACAGAGGTACGCCTCACTCCGGAATATTCTGGAATCCCTGGTGTAAGCGCTGTCGTTAAAAGGCCATTGTGGATCGGGTCACAGGTGCTCAGATAGGAGGTGTGCGGGTTGGGCCGGGGTGACTGTAGGGAATGATGCAGGTGAAGAAAACATAAGGAGTGAGAGGTACAATGGGAGACTGCATATTGATGAGGCTGATAATGGGAGGGAATCTTCATTGATAGACCACTCACCCTTCACTTGCGAAAATCCTGTCTCAATGTCCAGGAAAATGTGATGTGCTGTTCTTGTACAATTCTCCCAAATTTCATGGCATTCAGGCATGGGAAGATCCCACCCTATACGACTGAACCCAAACTAAGGTTCCAGGAGATGGAACAGTAATATATTTCCAAGTCAGGATGGTGAGTGGCTCAGATGGCAACTTGCAGGGGGTGGTGTTCCCATGTATCTGCTGCCTTTGTCCTTCTGGATGGAAGTGGTCATGGGTTTGGAAGATGCTATCTGAGGATCTGTGGTGAATTTCTGCAGTGCATCTTGTAGATGGTACACACTGCTGCTACTGAGCGTCGGTGGGGGAGGGAGTGGATGTTTGTGGATGTGGTGCCAATCAAGTGGGGGCTGCTTTTTCCTGGATGGTGTCAAGCTCCTTGACTGTTGCTGGAGCTGCACCCATCCAGGCAAGTGGGGAGTATTTATCACACTCCTGACTTGTGCCTTGTAGATGGTGGACAAGCTTTGGGGAGTCAGGAGGTGAGTTACTTACCACAGTAATTCATAGCCTCTGACCTAGAGGGTTTAACTAGAGGGTTTCAGACATGGAGGTCCAGGACAGATGAAAATTGAAGAGATGACAGTAATCCCCAAGCTAACTGTAATCCTACACCAGCCTCAACCTGAATAACAGTGTTTGACCCAGTGCTAACCCCAAGCCAAGCCTCATGGTAAATCTAGCATTGTGTAATGAGCCTCAATGTGAAAACATGTTTTTCTGTTGATTCAGCAACTCTTCCGGTGAGAGTCCATTTTACCCGTTCACCAACCAACCTCTCTGTTATTCTCAAAACCTGCCTTTGAATTGTTTGACTTCATATGGAAAGGCCCCAGTTTTTGAGCCACTTATTTTGTGTTTCTTTCCTTCTTTAGGGACCTGCAGTAAAATGTGAGAACACGTCTCCAGCAGCTGGTGACAAACATACCAGCCACTCACTGAGCAGTTCCAGGAACGTTTTTCACCCCAGGGAGCAGTTGGATCTGACCCTTGATGGTGCAAGAGGTTTGGACAGAATTCCCTACGATGACAGTCCAAAAAGCCGGCTCAGTCCCGTTGTTAATAGCACCAGCTCCACTAAACAGGAATCTCCGGTCATTATGCAGGAGTCAGCAAAGTCTCACATCAGTCCACATTCCTACCCAGCAGCTCTCCACTTTAACGGACCTTTACACAGGCGATCTCCTGGTGCAGTGAGAGAAGCAGTATCTATACAGCAAGAAGGTACCAGGAACACTGACATTTCCAGAGCAACAGGTCACTGACACTGAAACCACTGACCAAAGCTCCTGACTTGTTCTTCTGATTCACTTTCTTTATTAACTGCTCCCTTCACAGCTGCTGGCTTGTTTGCTGTCCCTGTTTATTCATCATTTCATAATGTTTACCCTGGTATTTCTACATTAAACCTTCATATCTTTTCCAGACAATCAGCTGGCAATCTCATTCCTGGCCCTCCCAAGCCACACCCTTTTCAGGGACAGTTTCTGCTTTTATTTTTATTCTTTTGTGGGATGTGAGTGTCACTGACAAAGCTGGCATTACTTATCCACGTCGAGTTGGTGATGTGAATGATTCCCCTTCCTCATCCTGTTTGTGTCATTGGCACATTCCTGCTCCTTTTCCAATTGCCCCAACATCCCTTTTGTCATTGCCTTCCATCGGATCACTGACCTGCCCTCTCTTTCGCTGCCCCTGCATTTCTTTACAACCTGTTACGTAGATTCTGTGAGGGGTGGAGAGTGTGCAGCCTGCTGATTGCAGGATGGAGCAGCTCAGCCTGTACCTCATCATTATGACTTGCTGCGTAAAAACCAGTCTTCCTCCCAGTTCCCCCCTTTCCTATGCTTCTGTGAACCTAGAATCCTGTCCCATCAGCCAAATGGGGGCATTCCCCACTGTCTCCCTCAGCCAACCCTGTCAAAACCCTGCACTCTGCTCTCACATCCTCCCCATTCCAGGAAGAACAGCCTGAACCAAACCTGGGAGCTAAACCCCACCATCCATGTGATGTTGTGGTAATTTCAGATCTCTCACACTCCTGTTCTGATGACATTCCTGTTGAAATTCAGAGTCAGGAAGCTGAAGCTCAGATCATGTCTGAATTTTTAATCCCTTGTGGTATCCACATCGGTCACACAAAGCTGTTTGGTTCGTGGCTCAAGGAGCTGCCTGTGGGGACGGACTCCCCGGGGAGAATCTCAAAGCCACGCTCCAGCCAGGCCTGTGTTTGACTGACAATGGAGCAGAGAGAACCGAAACTTTCCCAGTGCAGGCAGTGACCAAGACTGGTTCCATGTCCAGGACCTTGCATTCTCCTGCTAAATGTTGGAAACCCCAGCCAGTTAACTCTGTCTGTCTCTCCACAACTACTGCCTGCCCCACTGAACATTACCAGCACTCTGTTCTTACTTTAAGTATTTACATTATTTAGCTTTTGTATTCATGGGTTTTTGAACTGTAAATTTATTGAGGATAAAGGGAGCAAGGAAGTGATTGAAATAAAGATACAGACTATTGAATTGTGGACTAGGTTTGAGGGGCTGAATGGTCTCCTGTTACTATGGGTAACCAGCCTGTTTTGGATTTCTCTCACTGATTTCCTTTTCTCATTTTTTTCTAAGGTAAAATGGTTTCTCAGGAGCGAAAGGCCACTCCAACATCCAGGGAAATGTCTTCTGCTAAATCACCACACAGAATGATCCCAGAGCAATTTGCACACAGCCAGTATGAACAACTGCTCGGGAGAATGGCCGCGACTGATTTCTATCGGAGCTCTGTCCCACTGGGACTTGATGCTGCTGCTTTAGCCCAGGCAGTGCCCCTCGATACAGGTAACGCCACCCCCACCCCCACCTACCCCATTACCATCTTTCCACATACCCACATGTTGTTGACACTATTGATGGTTTGGTGTGCTGAAAGTTTTATTGGTTTTACTGAAAGTTGAAGATTGTCGATTAACTCCGATCACAGTCGCTGAGTGACTATTGCGTTTCACCTTGTTTCCAGCTGCTTATTGCTTTCCGAGAGCCCTGACTCCGACAGGGGCTTACCCTCACCCATATGCCCCTCTCCTGCTTCAGGGCTGTCCTGAAGCTGCTGCTTTGGAAAACAGACAGACCATCCTGAACGACTACATCACCTCGCAGCAGATGCATCATCCAGCGACAACAGCAGTGACGCACCGCGCTCAGCTACTTCGGGGCCTGTCCCCACGTGAACAGGCCCTCACTCTGGGCTACTGTGCAAATCCTCAAGGTGAGTTCTCCAACCCATAGCCAGCACATTCCATCAACCTGATTGATGAAGAATTGATTTAGAAAGGGAAAATAGAGTACAAAAGTAAGCTTGCAGGAGCATAAAGACTGACACTAACAGTTTCTATAGGTACGTGAAGAGAAAGAAATTGGTGAAGACAAATGTAGGTCCCCTACAGACAGAAATGGACGAATGTATAACTGGAAATGGCTGACCAACTGAATATATACTTTGGTTCTGTCTGCACAAAAGAGGACACAAATCAGACACCAGAAATATTGGAGAATGCAAGATTTAGTGAGAGGGAAGAATAGAGGGAGATCAATATTAGTAGAGAAATGGTGCTGGGAAAATCGACGGGATTGAACGCGGATAAATCCCCAGGGCCTGATAATCTACATCCCAGAATACTTAAGAAAGTGGCTCTAGAAATAGTGGATGCATTGGTAGTCATCTTCCAGGATTCTATAGACTCTGGAACAGTCCCTGCAGATTGGAGGGTAGCTAATATCATTCCAATATTCAAAAAGGGAGGTAGAGAGAAAACAGGGAATTATAGACCGGTCAGCCTAACATTGGAAGTGGGGAAAATTCCATCTGAGAATTAAACCTTTTTGATTTTCCTGGATGTAAGTTTTAACATGATGGAATGAATTTGAAATGCTCCCTGTGACCCTTTAAAAGCACCAATGACAAGATGGATGCTGGAGTTTACAAATGTCACACTTCACTGGGTAAGCCGCTATCTCTCAACACATCACAAAAGGAAAGATTTTATAAAGTACACTGATTTCCCCAGTTTTTCTTTCTTTTAGATCCAGGTTTCTGTACTTAGCAAGGATTATTATTTATTACAAGTAGATAGATTCTAACTATATATAAATAACCATAGCACATGACTCTACTGGTTAAAATTCTAACCCCCTTATAAAGCATCCCCTACAAACACATACAGACAGGAAAGAAAACACGGGTGTTATGGGCGGAGCGAAAGACTGGGAAGGCAGTTCAGTGGCCCCTGGCCACAGGGTTTGCTGAGATGATCCCTGTACTGATCAGAAACTGCTTCTCGATCTTCATTCTCCAGATACTTTCACTTGTTTGCGGGAGCTACAGGGTGGCTGGTTCACACTTAGAAAGGTCTCGGACTTATTAATGG